CGGGACTGCTGGCAGTGAGGGGGAGCAGAGCTGCTCAGGCCTGTGATTTCCAGCGTGCTGCTGGAACACCCGTGCGCTGTCACTCCCAATCCCCGTCATCTCTTACCCATCGCAGACCAAGGAAGAATCTGACCGAGCTGTTTGCCCTGAGCTTGGCAGGAGTGAAACCCAGGACATGGCCAGGTCCACGTGATGGAGAAAATAGAGGCATCTGGAAGCCAGCAGCTCCAGAAACAGTTCAGGTGGATCCAGAGACTATCTGGCTGTGTTACCCTGGCTGAGCTCCTGCTGCAGCACTGAGGGTTTTGCCTCAGTTCTGTGTTACTGCTTGCTCCCTCCTCCTGTTCATGTGATTAATTATTTATTGTGGGCTGGGGGGAACCAACCCCAAACCATCACCACCACCAAAACCCCAACGCTTTAACAGCTAGGATCTGGCATCTGCAGCTCCACTGAATCAATGAGATGTCCAGGAGGGAACCCCAAGGCAGACTTCTCCCCTGCTCCCAGGACAGGCCTGCATAAAGCACCGTGAAACAGCCAGGCAAATCCTTTTCAGAGCAGGAGGAAAGGGCTAAATTAATGCCTTCTGCACCTTGGCAAAGCTCCTGCCAACCAGCTGGCAGCCTTGGCTGCTGTTAGAGCTTAGAGGCCAAGCAGGACATGTGTGGAGCCCTCTCCAGCTGCTTGGTATTTCCCTGGTGTGTGCTGGGCTCACCCACTGTCCCCAGTGGGAGTTCCTAGCCTTCCTGGACAGCACCTCTCCCTCTCTCCACAAAGAGCCCTTCATGGAGAACGTGTCAGGCTGCTTCAGCCCCTCATTCTCACTCCAGCTGGTGTGTCCTGAGTAGGGATGTGCCACCTTGGCACCTCTGCTGCCCTGCAAGGAGAGGTGCTGGAAATGTTGGCTCTATCAGGGAGCCAGGGCCACTCGTTGGGACAGGAGGCTTTCAGCAGCCTCAGGTTTCAAGGCCCTCCTTCTCCTCCTGCTCTTCTGAGCTTCAGCTTGCAGCAGTGCAGAGGGGAGGAGAACCAGCAGTGAAATATTTTGGATAACCCAGGCCCCTCTTCCCATGGCCCAGATCCTGGCTCCCAGCGTGGAGCAGGGTTGGGATCAGTGGGTGCTTCCCATGGATTCTCCTTGTCATTGGCACTGCTGGACTTCTTCCCAAACTCCTCAGTGCCCTTCCTGGGACACTTTGAAGGCATATGGCCAACCAGGAGTGAATCCCACATGGATGTAGGGCAGACCAGCCAGTCGTGCCTGTGTTATTTAACTTGAGCTTCACTTGCCTGTGCAGGAGGGAGAAGTCCTGTACCAGTGTGGCAGGTGAGGAACAACCACACTGCCAGATGCCTTCCTGGGAGAGTCCTGCTCCCCAGCAGGGCAAGTTTGGGTCTTAGGACTGTATTTATTTAGGGGCTGTACTCACAGGATGTGTGTACAGGATGTGCTGCACATCAGAGAGCAGGATCAGACTCCAGGAACGTGAGCTCCATCCAGAGCTTCATGGGATGGGGAGTGAGGAGCAGCAGTAACAACACCTGTGCAGGGGGACAGCAGTTTCTCATCACTCCAGTTCTACAAATCTGCTGTAGCCTTGCTTACTTCCTCTCCTGATTCCCTGTTAGGTGACAAAAGAAGGAATGGTTGGAAGCGCTTTGGGATTCCGAGCAGCCGTTCTCCAAGGACAGATTATCTCAAGATGCATGTGCAGGATGGCTCATGAGTTACCACACTGCAGAGCTGGGGAGGAGGGAACATGGCTTTGCAGAGATTGGTTATTCCCATGAGGGGATGAATAATTTATTTTAGATGAATTTTTCTTTGCTTTGTCTAAGGCTGAGTCTCTCAATAAATTATGAATAGCTGAAGACGATGTTGAAGTTATCATTGTGTGTCTTACCCAAAGGCTTCCCCCATTACATTTTCTGCATTTTATTCTGTAGATAAGAGGAAATAAAAGGAGAATTTTTTTTTTTTTTAGCTTCAGCCTTTGAAGAAGGCCACAGGGCTGGGTGTTTGGAGTTCCACTTTCAGAGAACAAATCCACAGTTTTCTACTTCTGGTGTAAGAGTTTTGTGCCCCTGGCTCTTGAGTGTTTATTAGATTTGGCAGGTCTCTATTTGTGCACTAGCTCTTTGGAGTTTACAGCTTTGGGGAATAAAGGATGATTATGTGCTTTCTGTACAAAATGCCACTTTTTATGGTTTCAGGCCGGCTGTACGTGGGGTGTGACATTAAAATGAATTAAATGGTTACTGAATTAAATGCTCATTGCTGGGTGTTTTCTGTATGGCTGCAAATCCCAGTGGCTGGGATGGACCTCACCCAAAATGTGCTGGACCCAGCACTCCCTGCTGTCCATCTGCTGCTGCAGGTCCTCTCTGCCTTTTCCACCTTCTCTGGCAGCCTCCACATCCACAGCAGCTCCTGCACCGTGTGGGTGGCTCAACACTCCCGACCTTGTGGCCCTAAATAATCACATCATTTCTGCTGTCTGCCACTGCGGGAGTGATTTCAGAGAGATCCTCATTTTTCCTTTGAAATTAATTAAGGGGTAGTGCCTTTCTCCACGCTCTGCATGACGCTGGAGCAGCTCCTTTCGCTCAGAGAATTAATGACTCATTTGCTTTTCTCCTGGCGGTCCTGCCCCCTCCACCCTTGGGCAGGCGGGCGCTGGGTGTTCCTTTCTTTCCCCACATTTACAGCCAGGACTCTGAGCATCCAAGTGACGATGTCCAAACCTCCAGGAGCCTTTGCTTGGCTCCACGAGGGCGGTGGCAGCAGGGCTGTAAAAGCTGATGAAACCTCAGCAGCTTCAGCCACGCGCTGTCAGTGCTCGTCAATCCCAGCGCCGAGGGAGCGCAGCTCCTCTGTGACAGAGCCTGGCATTTCCCATCCTTTGGAAATAACTTTCCATCGTTTTCAAATATCACAGGATCCTTTGGGTTTGCTTCTCCCAGCGACAGCCCCCACCTGGCGTCGCCTGTGCTTGGGTTGCTGATTAAGCCGAGCATGCCCAGCCTGGTGGAAAGTCTTTTATGGAAGGAGGATCTTGATAAGAGATTTGTGTCTGCCCTGTCCTGCCTGTGTGTGGGCAGTTAAAGAGTAAATAACGTGGGCAAACAGGCAGGGGAAAAGATTTCCAATGCCATCAGGGGTGGCACAGGTTGGTACAGTTTGAGAGAGTTAAAAACAGACTTTTCGAGAGGGCAGAGTACATGTCCTGAAAAGCAGAGCCCCTGTACACAGTGACTCAACAGTACTGGAGTTATTGAGCAGTTAAAATTCTGCTTAAACACTTCCTTTTCATCCTAGCAGGCAGATTGGCAGGTCTGGATGTTGGTGCTGCAGGAGTCCCCCAGGTGGGCTGCAAAGCCCAGACTGGAAGGGCACAAAAAAGTGCCCTCTGTGTCAAGCCATGCCAGAATGGGAGGGGGTTTTGCTAGTAAATAAGGAGCAGAAAGATTTCCAGGAGCTCTGCTTATCCCAGGCACCGAGATCCCTCTCACTTGGACCCGAACCTCATGGGAGTGGCTGTGGGAGCACCCACAGCTCTCAGATGTGACCACTGGGATGTGCCACAAGCTCCCCACTCCTAAATTGAATTTCTGTGTTGTTGGCAGTGGGGATTTTCACCCAGGAGCTGCACAGCAGCTCTGAAATTATGATTGTGCTCATCTGGAAACTGCTCCAGTGCTTTCCAAAGCATCTGATTTCATAAAGGGCTTTTATGGGAGATTTTGGAGCGAGGAGTAATCAGTTTTCCTACTGCTTGCAGAGACCAGCATCTCTTTTTTTGGGGGGCGGGGATACACTTAAAGGGAAGAAAACACCTGTCCAGCACATTTGCTCAGACCCCAAAGATTTCAGTCAAAATTCTTAATGTTCTTTTTCTTTCCATCTGCATTTTTCAGCAAAGACAAACAGCCTCATAGTATTTCTTCAAAGGAATGTAAATTCCTTGAGGAAGTCTCCGGAGTTCCCAGCACCGCATAGCTACAAACCACAGACGCCTACGGCTGAAAGTTCTGCTCTGCTTTTAATTTTGGGGCAGGGAAGGAATTTTTTTTCAGAGGTTTGGGTTCACTTGCGCTGGGCCCGTCGGCCCAGACTGCTGCTTTCTGCGCAGGGGAGTGTTGTCTTTGGCCGGCTGCAGAGCTGCTTTCCCTCCACAAGAGTATTCCCCCACCGAATCTGATGACATGGCGCAATTATTTCATTAGGATTTTCCGAAAAAGGTTCCCTCGGTCTCCTGTAGTGCTAGAAAGACCTTTTCCTTCTGTTCTCTTGTTTCGGCTTCGGCAGCTTTGCCTGAAAAATGCGATTAGGGGCGGCAGCGCTGCTGCCTGAGCCCGAATGCTTGGGAGAGGGAAGGGAGAACTTGAGGGGCTTAACCCGGCTGCCAAAATCCCTTCTGTTGGGGAAAGCAGCGCTGGAGGTGGGGGCAGCCCACCAGGATCTGGCAGCCCTTTCAGTGCTCCCCAAAACCCGTGCTGGCAGCACACTGGGGCGGTGCACTGCGGGTTGGAGCACGATGCGCGGAGGGCAGCTCGTCGGGCATAGTTCCACAGAATCCCAGAATCATTTAGCTTGGAAAAAACCTCCGAGATCACCGAGTCCAACCCGGGAGCCGTCCCCGCCTTGTCAAGCACACCAGAGCACCGAGTGCCGCGTCCGGTCGGTGCCGGCCCAGGGACGGCGACTCCGCCACCTCCCAGTGCCGAGCTCCGTGCGGCTGCGAGCGGGGGAGCGGCGCTGGGCTGGGATGCAGGACGGGGGTACGGGCTCGCCGGCAGGACAGGGACAGCCAGCGGGGACACGGGCGGCTGCAGGGGCACGGCCGGAACACACACGGGGACAGCGGTGGGACACGGCCCGCCCCTGGCACGGCCCCTCCCCGGCTCGGCGGCCGCCCCGCCCGCCCGGGCTCAGCCGGCGCAGGGAGCGCAGCGCGGGCAGCGGCCGGGCCGGGGCGGGCACCGGCGGCTCGGCCATGGTGGGGCGGCTCAGCCTGCGGGAGGTGCCCGACCTCCCGGACATGAGGAAGCGGGGCGACTCCGGCCTCGACAGCCCCGACTCCGGGCTGCCCCCCAGTCCCGGCCCGGCCCCGCCGCCCTGGCTGCTCCCCTCGGGCAGCCCCGAGCGCGCCGCAGCCAACGGGCTCCCGGAGCCCGAGCCGCCCGCAGCCTCCGCAGCGGTGAGTACCGGCCCTCCCTGCGCTGCCCGCACCCCCCGGGACCCCCCGGGACCCTCCGGGACCCCCCGGGACCCTCCGGGACCGCGGCTCCGGCAGATCCCGGCCCGGTGCCGCCGCCGCAGGTGCCCCGGAGGAGCCGCTGCCCTTCGCAGCCCGCCCGGGACCCCGCGCATCCCGCGGGGAAAGGAGGCTGGAAAGCCGGGTCTGGCCGGCGTGGGAAGGGCTTGGAACACCCGCCCGCCGGCTGTAACCGAGCCCTCCCGCCGCTGTCGGGTCTGCACCGGGAGGGAAGGATCCGACCGGGAACCGGGGTGGCCGGGGCTTTTCACAAAGCTTTGCCTGCAAGGGAAACTCCTCTCCCTCCTGCCCCGGGTCGGGGCTGGGACGGCATCGCGTCTTTGGAAATAAATCCCTGTGGAAAGTGAACTCCCGTTATTCCGGAATGACCCGCAGCAGTAACTTTATTGTGCATAAAGTTTTCAGTTAATTTGTTTTTCTCATCAAATAGGTTTTGGATGTTGAGCTGCTGGTACAAATACTTTGGAGACGGCAGATTTAGAGGAGAAATCCTTTTTCTGCCGGGGTGCTGCTGTGAAATTGGAAAAGGCCACAGGAGGGAAAGATGCACGCAGCCCCCCAGCCCCTCGATAGTAAACACACGTGCAGAGGTGGCTTCAAAAACACACACGGCTTGGGTTCCATCCCTTCAGGGCTGCTTTGGTTTCCTTGAGCTGTGGGATTCGGTGTCAGCTCCCGGTGCTGGGTGTCAGGAGAGGAGCGCAGGGACAGGCAATGAATCAGCGCTCAGCGGGAATGAGTTAATCCTTCCCAACGCTTCGTGTGTGAATTAGGTTGGATTTAATGCCTTCAAACAGGAGCCAGGGCGTAGCTGTGGAGCAAGGAGGTGGCTCACAGCGAGGTGATCATTTCCTGCTGCAGCCTGTCCGTGTGTATGGGTTGAATTCAGCACGGAGGGAGCTCTCAGACACCCCTAAAATGTTGGTTATAACTTGAGCGTGGGTTAATACGGGGAACAGACTACACTGCAGCGAGGGGTTGCATTCCTCTCTCATTTCCCAGAGCAGCTCCTCTGAATTACGTTGGGTCCCTGAAGTTAGGACCTTGTCTTCAAAAAATGCTCCTGGGCCACCTCTAGGATGCTTTAGACCAGAGTGGAGTCAGGCCTAAGGATGCACCTGTGGCACCTCTTGGTCTAGCAGATCCTCCTGCACGTAAATGTGAACCTCAACAGCTCCATACCGAGGGATAAATAAATCTGTTTCCCTCTGTACTGTGTACTGCATTGTAACATAAAAGTTACAACAACATGGTAACATAAAACATTTTGCATTTTTCTTGCAGAGTTCTGTGTTCTCCCCCAGCCCCGTTCTCTCCAGCTGTCCTCCAAGACTGTGTCCTTTATCCTTTGGCGAAGGAGTTGAGTTTGACCCTTTACCACCGAAGGAAATAAGGTAAATATTGTGTTACAGTAAAGGAGCAGTTAGGCCTTATCAGTGCCTGTGAGTCAAGTTAATTTATTTGCAGAGCCATTGTTCACTGCAGCTGTACATTCCTGGACCTGGACATTTGTACAGGCCGAAGGAGTGTTCAGCCTCTTTTAATCCCACCCATATGGTTGTTTTCTTGGTTATTTTTCCAGGAAGACTTTCTTATATTTTAGTCTCCTGCTTTTCCTTCCTTGCGCTGCTCCAAAATGTTGCCCTTCAGCTGATTAGCCAGGAGGCAGTCATGAGGGAAGAGCTTCAAAAGATCTTTCTAGGACTGTTTCATTAAGGGAAAGAAATTTTGCTCTTGCAACCTCATGGTTTTATAATAAGCACTTCCTTTCTTAACAGCTCTGGCTGGTTGTGTGAACTAAAAGAAATGGTAACATTCAGAGGAGTGCATAATTTTTTTTTTTTTTAATGCACTGCATCATTTCACAGCCTGTGAATTATTCTTTTGAACACCATGATTTGCAGTAATGAGAGGAGAAGGCTCGTGGTTGATGACTGTGCAATTAGAGGGAGGCTGATAAAATCAAAAGGAAGCCTAAAGCAGGGGAGGGTAGGGAGAATTATGTCCTGGTGTGGGGAAGGAGCCTGTGCTGTGGCTGGAATTGGAGGCAGTTAACTCCTTAGTTAGTGGAAAAGCCAACACAGAGCTGTGGCAGCGCCAAGGAGACGAAAACTTCCTTTTGCAACCCAGACCCAGAGGATTTGCGAGTGTTTTCCTGCCAGCTGAATCTTCAGGAGTTTGTCCTCGGAGAGTGCCCCGTGCCAGGGGCGATAGCAGAGCACTCCTGTGTGGTTCCTGGCAGGGAAAAGCTGAGGAGATAACGTGTGCTTCCACGGGCTTGGGGGAGTTGGGATGTTTATGAGCCCAGGCGTGGATCAAGGCCTCTGGGTCTGGGAGTTTGCAGGAGGTCTCCACTGAGCTCAGGGCTGAGAAGTTCTGGTAGTGCTGGCAGCCGGGCTAAGCGCTGATAATCCTGGGAATGCTGCTGCCACAAGGCTCTCCTCTCATCCTGTCAGTGTGTAAAACACCAGCAGATGGTTCTGGTGGGATGAGAAGCCACCCTGGCAGCTCTGCTCCTCTTCCCCACAAAGCCATGAGCAGAGCTCACACAGCCATGCCCAGCCCTGCTCCACACAGCTCAGATGTCCCATGTTTTGCAGGACATGCTGGTGCCAGAATACGTTCATGCAGATATGAAACCTTTTCCTTTTATTGACTCTGAGTCATTTACTAGAAGTAAAGAATCATTGGCCTGAGACTACACACAGTTATTTCTATGGATGAGGTCAACAATGTTTTAAGATTTGTGTTTCTGTGACTGGAGCTCCACAGAAATGTTCTCCTAGTTACAATTGCACTGCTGCAATTAAACCTCTGTGGCTGTATTAGAATTACTTCTTCTATTGCATAGAAGTAAAAAACCTTGTTTAAAAAAAGCCTTATAAAATCATAACTTAGGCCCATTATTTCAGCTAAATTCAGTTAACAGCTGGCCTTCCAGCTAGCAATCTGTTCTAGTAAGAAAACCATTCACACCTGTAGAAACAAGAAATCCACCCCATGAAAATCAATTAACAAAAATATATAAACGACCTAAAGAAAGAAAAAGTTTAATTAAGCATATAGAATAGCCCTTACCAACAAAATTTCACTAAATTACTTTTAACACAGTACCTTCTAATATTTCCTGTAAATATGTACGTGGATTAATATAAATATTAAATAGATTTAAAATCTATTCAAATACATAAATGCATATAAATAAATATGCATAATACATAATAATAAAGAACAATACATATAATACATATAAATACACATACATAATACATAATAATAAAGAACAGTAGTACAGATAATAAATATAAATACACATACATAATACATAATAAAGAGGAATAGTACATATAATACATATAAATACATATACATAATACATAATATAAGGAACAATAATACATATAATACATATAAATATACATAATACATAATAATAAAGAACAATAATACAGATAATAAATATAAATACACATACATAATACATAATAATAAAGAACAACAATACATGTAATACATATAAATACATAATACATAATAATAAAGAACAATAGTACATATAATACTTATAAAAACACACACATAATACATAACAATAAAAAATTATACACATAATACATAGAAATACATATGCATAGTACATACTAATAAAGAACAATACATATAATACATATAAATATACATACATAATACATAATAAAGAGGAATAGTACATATAATACATATAAATACATATACATAATACATAATATAAGGAACAATAATACATATAATACATATAAATATACATAATACATAATAATAAAGAACAATAATACAGATAATAAATATAAATACACATACATAATACATAATAATAAAGAACAACAATACATGTAATACATATAAATACATAATACATAATAATAAAGAACAATAGTACATATAATACTTATAAAAACACACACATAATACATAACAATAAAAAATTATACACATAATACATAGAAATACATATGCATAGTACATACTAATAAAGAACAATACATATAATACATATAAATATACATACATAATACATAATACTAAAGAAGAATAATACAGATAATACATATAAATACATATACATAATACATAATAATAAACAGTAATACATATACTACATATAAATACACATGCATAATACATAATAATAAGGAAGAATAATACATATAATACATATAAATAATACATAATAATAAAGAACAATAATACATGTAATACATATAAATACACATACATAATACATAATAATAAAGAACAATATTACATATAATACATATAAATACATAATACATAATAATAAGGAAAAATAATACATATAATACATATAAATATACATAATATGTAATAATAAAGAACAACAATACATGTAATACATATAAATACATAATACATAATATTAAAGAACAATAGTACATATAATACTTATAAATACACACACATAATACATAACAATAAACAATTATACACATAATACATAGAAATACATATACATAGTGCATACTAATAAAGAACAATACATATACATGTAAATACACATACATAATAATAAAGAACAATAATACATATAATAATATAAAAACATATACATAATAATAAAGAACAATAATACATATAATAATATAAATACATATACATAATAATAAAGAACAATAATACATATAATAATATAAATACATATACATAATAATAAAGAACAATAATACATATAATAATATAAAAACACATACATAATAATAAAGAACAATAATACATATAATAATATAAATACATATACATAATAATAAAGAACAATAATACATATAATACACATAAATACATATAAATATAAACAAACACATAATAATATTATACTTAACAACACATATAAATAAAGAACCAGAGTTTTTTCTGCAGAGAGGAGTTGGAGCCGTGTCTGGGGCTCCCCGTGGCCGCTGTCCCTGACGATGGCTGTGGATTTGTGTTGCAGGTACACGAGCTCGGTGAGGTACGACTCGGAGAAGCATTTCATCGCCGACGTGTTCCTGCCGGTGGGGCTGAGCGTGGCGGCCTGCAGCCAGACCATCGTCTGCGTCCCCGACTGCTCCTGGCGCAGCTACAAGGCCGAGGTGCGCCTGGAGCCTCGCCACCGGCCCCGGCGCTTCACCAGCACCACCATCATCTACCCCAAGCACGCCAAGACTGTCTACACCACCACGCTGGACTACAACTGCCGCAAGGCCACGCGCAGGTTCCTCTCCAGCGTGGAGCTGGACACCTCGGAGTGCCTCGGCCCTGACGGCTGCTGACCGCGGCCACCCTCCGGCCCACGCCCGTCCCTGGGACTGTGCTAGCTGCCCTTGCCAAAAGCAGGTGCAGAACTTCTCCCTCAGCTCTCGGCTCCTGCTCTCCAAGCGTCACGACGGCCCCGGGCGCGGTTTTCTGTGGGAACGTAATTTAGCGAGGGATTTGTTCTCTTTGCCTCCCAAATGCCGTGAGCTCCCTCCCCTTCCCCGCAGTGGAGATAACGGGAAGGGCTTTCCCTTACCTGGACAGGTAAGGAGGAGTGTGGGGTGGTGCCTGGCAGGTGGAATTCCATTTGATGCTTCGTGGTGATGTGCAAAAAAATAAGGGCAGTTGGCTGTCTTGCAGAGAATGCAGAGGTGGTTTGGTTACACGTAGAGCTGTCGACCCTTTCAGTTTAGATCGTGTTTTATCCAGAAGAACCATCCCCATGAAACTGCTGGGAAAGGCTAACAGAGAAAACCCCAGAATTCTGCATTTAACACGTACAAAAATGTTCCCATATGGCATTCACGCACTGAATGAAGGTGTAAATTGGGGAGAGGAGGGGTTCTGAGCAGAGCAGGAGGAGAACTGCTCCTGCAGCTCCAGGCAGCAGAGACAGGATTGTGTGACTCCAGTTCTTTGGGTGACCAGGAACCCACGTTCTGTGTGACACACGAGCGTTTCTGTGCCTGCAGCCGGGCTTGCACAGAGAATACCAGGCCAGAAATTATCCGTGTCTTGTTGGATCTTGGTGATCTGGAGGTGGAAAACCACAAGTGCCTTGTTTTTGTGAACTAAAGGAGCTGTAACCAAAGCAAGGTTAGATAAGGTGCTGGACAGAGGGACCCAGGGTGGCAGAGGAGGTGCTGGATCGGGTGTGAGACACTGTTGTGGTGGGGTTGGGAGGAGGTGAACAGGTAGCAAGGGACAGGCAGCTTTGTAGTGCAGAGAAAAATCCACAGCTCTGCTTCCCTGCTGAGCTTGTGGTGGCACAGGTCCTTGGGATCGGGGATGTCACTGGGATGGGGCAGCCTCTGCCTGTCTGCAGGCTGCTGAAAATCCTCTCCTGAGTGCCTGATGAGTTTGGGGACCAAAGGGAACAGCTTCAGATACCAGGAAAGTCTGTCTGGATGTTACGTGCGTTCGTTTATCGTGTGCCTTGATGAAAATGAGACAGAGAGGTTTCCTTCTTTTCCCAGGTTGTTGTTTTTTTCCCCTGTGTTGACAGAGCGCAGTGTGGAGAGCATCTGCTTTGGGGAGCGTGGGCTGTGCTGGTTTTTTGTGTGGTGTAGTCTCTCAGAAACACCTGACAGACCTGTCTTAGCTGGACACGGCTTTTCCGTGTATTCCCAAACTCTTCCGAGGTGTGGGTGTGCAACACCAGTCCTGGAGCAGCTTTTCAAGAGGACTTTGCACAGCCCCAGGGGTGAGTTTTGTCAGTGGCAACCTCGGGAGCCTGTTCTTGAGCTGTGCTTAACGTGTGTTTGTGCAAGTGTGATGGATGGTGTGCAAGTGGATCCCAGGGAACTGAAAGGAGCCGGGAGACGAAGAGTGCAGCAGGAAGGAAACCTTGGGTTTGTATGGTTTGAGGGTTTTCAATTGTTGTTGTTAGGGTTTTTTACTTATTTATTAGCTCAGAAAAGAACATCCTTCACCTTTGGAACTTGCCTTGGAAAGGCAGCTCCTAAAACCATCCCAGGACGAGAGAGGACACGGTCAGGCAGGCGGCACTCCGCGGTTAAGAACACTTTGGTCTCGGGCTGCAAGACTGGGGAGATGTGTCTCAACCAGATGGTGCAATTGTGCCCTGACTGCTGCCCCAGGACGTCCTCGTGGTGTAACAGAAGGCTCAGCTCACCCACAGCCCCAGGGTTCACTCTCTCCTCTGTGGGATGGGGCTGCTGCACCCTCGCTGCCCACACCTCGCTCCTGAAGCGGCTGCTGCTGTTGGAGACGGGATTTTGGGAGAACATCACCCCGGATTGCGCCCACAAACACTCCCCCAACAAATCCACCCGGAACAGATCTAAGAGGAGGTTGTTGTTTTAAGTTGTAGCCATTAGTTGTTCCTAGTTAGAAGCATAATAACCCACAAAATACCCCTCACGCTCCGGTTTTAGGATAAAAGCACCTGATTTTTATAAAGCAAACTTAATATGTACCTCTTAAGAATATTTTAATTGGTCTCTACCAATACCTTTTAAATTATTTATGTTCCAACATTTGCAAAGCTCTGTGCCAGTGTTCTGGTGTCTGTGATGTTTCCCACCCCTTCCTGATTTTCAATTTGTCTTTTACTTTATTGGTAATAAATGATCTGAAAACCATCCTGCAAGGGAAGTCTCTTTATTTCTCATTCAAAGCTTTTCAGTGTTTATTGTGGTTGTTACTTAGAAATAAATACATAATATTTCTTGCCAGTCCCATCTGCCCTCCTTTCTCTTCTATTTGTTGTTTACATATTCTAGGAGGGTGTTTCCTATATAAAATTGTCTATATTAAAAACCAAACCAACACCAAATGTTGTGGATTTGTCAATTTAGTAAGACATTGAAAACGTGCTTTAAAGACAGCTGAAAATCCTCTCCTTAATGACTTTGAGTTATTCATCTGGTACAGTTTTATTTTTAAAGAGAGTTTCTGGTATGAATTCTGGTATGAATATCCTACAAGTGAAGAACTAATCCCTTTCATATATAACATGTATTTAACCAGGCAGGAATTTACTTTTAAAATGTAGATGCTCAAATGCTGCATTAGTAAACACAGCATAAACATAAAACTTGAGTGTGTTATGCATTAAACTTTATAAAATCAAAAGAGATGATTATAAGTTATTGTGCTGAGGGAAACGCTGTGGTGTTTTTCTGGATGCTTAATCTCTTCTTTTAACCTTCCCACACTTTGCAGGCGTGCTGATTTTGTTAGTGACTCTGGCAGAGCAGGAATGGATGTAATTGAACATCAGTTAATTAATTCCTGATGGGATTAATTTTTTTTTCCCTTACTTTTTATTGTTCATCTGGTTCTGTGCTTGTGGAAGCTCTGGAGTTGCATGTAATGACATTATTGGGGTCTGGGGAGCCGTGGAGCTGCTCCAAAGCCGCTGCTTCCAGCAAAAGGCTCTGAGAGCTTTTGGGTATCCTGGAGTTTTGAAGTATTAAACAGGAGAAAAGCCACACATAAACATTAGTTCTGTATAAAAGGGGCTATTTAAAAAGCCATTAAGAAAAAACCTTTAAAAGTCAGCAGTGTCTTTCAGGGCAGCTGGGGGAGACTTTCAGATGTCACCTAACTTTCAAATCCTTCCTGTAGTGAGGGCTGGGCTGTTCTCCTTAAGTCTTGTCATGACACTCTGTATGAAAAACATTCTTTTACTATAAAAATTTGAAGTAGGGGAGTACAAGGCTGTTCCATGTGATTTTAATTCACATTGGCCCAATGAGCTTCTAATTAGCACCCACCATTCCAAGGAAACCCTGTTGTTCTGGATGTGCTGTTTCCCTTTCATGTGTGCTTCTCCAGAATGTCACATCTGAGGGTCTGAGATAATGGATTTTTGTAACAAAATAAAACACTCAGCCTAACAATTGGATCAAAAGGCAGGAGGTGAGGATTGGATTCCCATCCTGACTTTGCAGCTCGCTCAGTTTCAAGGAAGGTAAGTTCACATTCCTGGAAATCATTTCAGCCTCTAAACAAGGTGTTGTCCTTAATTTGCTCACAGATCTCCAGTGTACAACATGAATACCTGGAAAGTTTAAGAGCATTATTTGGCAATAAACCAACAGCAATAATTAGTGATGTTCCAGGACAAACACACAGTGTGGAAAGGAGCACTTCTAATTGTCTATGTGTATTTTAACAGCTTGGTTTGCTTTATAAAATAGAAATGTCCTCTCCTCCACACAGACAGTGAGTAAGCACTGCTAGGACACAGAAATTGTTGGGATTTTGGGTGACACCCCTGGTGCAGCTCAGAGGCTCCTTCAGCATTCAGTTGACACTTGCTCTTCCAAAAAATGACCGCTGGATTCCCCTTTACCTGCTGCTGCCGTGGAGGGGTGGGGAACTCCTGGCAGCTGGGAAGTGCTCCTGGATATACAATTCATACCTTTTCCTCCTGTTCACTCTGTAAACACACAGCCTTTCCTTCTCTGCCTCAGGATCCTCCAGAATCCCATCCCACCTCAGGCTTTCACTCAGCTGAGCGCAGAGACCTTCCTCTGCCCCACTGGAATCCAAAATGCTGCAAGCTGATGCTCCAGCCTTCTTTGTTTTTGCATCTTCCTGGTTCCCCTCTGCAGTGTTTTGGGCTGACTCAGGGTTCCTCCCAGGAATCTGAAGCACTGGGGGGGAGTGGGCCCGCTGCTTTCTGTTTTTGTGGTGCTGTTTTTCTGTTAAAATGATAAATGCTGTTAGCAAAAAAAAAAGGGAAGTGTTGCCTCTGAGGCTTTCCTGCTTATTTCGTAAAACAAAAATAAAATGAGGCAACTGCTTGCTGTGCCTTAATAAAACCCCAAAATCTACAGGAAAAATAGTATTGGCCCAAAAATCTTACTATAAAGTAGGAAATATGTATTTTTCTGATTGGCCAACATAGGGATTGTCACATCTGTAAAATGTATTTATTGAAGCTGTTAATGGATTAATAACACCTCTGCACTGGCATCAAGTTCACTGTGTTTGCCTGACCCCATTTAAGCAGGAAATTGATTCTGAGTTGTTGGAGATTTTTTTTAAAGCTGACATCCAATAATACAGTGAGCCGTGTGACTTGATTTCTTTTAACAGTACGATTTCTGGAAACTTTCAGGCCCTTTTTGTACTAAAATAGTGGAAATTAATGGAATTATTCCTTTACACAGAACATTTTTGGGAATTACCCTTCCTTTTCTGCAGTTTTACCAACTCACCCCCACCGATAATCAGTGCTGTAAGCCACACAAGGGAAGGGTGAATATTTAAATATCCACTAAATATGAACAGCATCCCAAATCCCGGGCAGTTTATGGAATTCTCCCCGGCAGGTGCCTTATGCCTC